ATGCAGGTTGCTGAAATTTTTGCAAACACTTGCGCTATTGTAAATGCTCGTTCTGATGTTTTGAACGCTTTGAAATTGGCAAAATTTGACTTAGCCGTTGCAGAAATATTTGATGTTTGCGCATTTGGTTAGAGGTTGATAAAAACCATTAATTTTCCAAACTTTATGCCTACACCAAAGTATTATTAACTAAAACATGATTTAAAAATTTCAGAAATTATTTGAGTTCAAATAGCCGATCTAATATCCACCTTTATTAAGATCTTTTTATTGTGACATTGATCACCAAATTTAGGTTTAATTGAGCATTTGGGAATTCCTGCACATGTAGCAACAACATCATCTGTTCTTTTGGACAGTCATGCAACAATTTTTGGCCTTCCTCTGCATCTCAGTTATGTTCCAAGTACGCATACTGACAATAGACTACAATTTCCTCCTTCTTAAAACGCTAACTGACGGCCTTATATTTTAAGTAGGCACCAATAGGTTCCGTTCTTTTGGGTACAAAGAGTTCAAAAGTTTTCCAGAACTGTTAAAAAGTTGTAATATATTAGGCGTTTTTTCATCGTATTCCGACAGAATGAATATACTACAACGAATTTGGAATGCGATTAACAGTCGAACAGCACAAATGTCGCATGAAGCCATCGTAAATCAACAGCAAACACTCTTTAAAAAGCTTTATGGAAGACGTTTCATTAGTCTAAATGTAAGCGTTCAGTCATCTCATTTAACTCTAATTTTCTAATTATTCTGTATTATGGGTATAATTTGCTTACAGTTCTGGTATATTAACTGTTATTGATAAACTGAAAACTCAAGGTGCTGTACCATCGGCAAGTACCTGTATAACTGGTTTACTAAACAACGTTTTAGGAGAAAATAGCACAATCTGCGTTAGTACTTGTCAATTCCAATCCAATTTACGACTTTCCACGCCCAACGCTTCATAAAATATTGCATGTTGGTGGAATAAATGTCAAGATACCAAGAAAGTTAAGTGAGGTAAAAAAGCTATATTATTGAACAATTTTTTAGGCGATCTAAACAGCTGAAAAAAGCAGTGATTTTAGGAATGGAACACAGTTTTACGCCAAAGGCCTAAAACCGTTATAGTTGCATTTGGAAGCGTTGTAAGGAGTTGTACGATGCCAGTGGAGATGAAGAAAAATTTACTGGAAGCATTTGCTGAGTTTCCGAACGTAACATTCATTTGGAAATATGAGAAGGCTGAAAACGTCGCAAAGGATTACACCAATGTGGTGGTAGCGGATTGGATACCACAGAATGACTTACTAAGTTTGCTGCCTATTTAGCAAAACTGAACAGCATTTAGCAGAGCTTCGCAGAACTGATTTTAATTTCGCTCAAAATATCCTATGGTGTGAACCCAACTAGAAGTTGCGACTTTATTCAGATGATAACCGTGTCGTTGGTGCAATCACTCATGGCGGAATGAATGGAATACACGAGGCTGTTTATGCTGGTAAACCACTAATAATAGTACCACTTTTTGGAGAGCAGACACATAACGCCAAGATGGCTGAGAGGGCAAACTTTGGTATTGTGTTGGAAAAATCGAATTTTTGGTCGCAAAAAGAAATCGTCCGATGCCTCAAATTGCTACTTAACGACGAGAGGTTAATAGTGTGAATTATTTAAGTTTATTGAAGCGATCTACATCCGGCAAATAAGATCTCTAATCACCGTTTCAATTTTCCCGAAGACTTCTAGTTTTAATTGTGCGTCGCACCGTTTTCATATTTTGACATCTATTAAAATTTAGCATTCAACGAAGGAGGTTGTTGAGCCAAAAGTGCTTTTAAAATATGGGTAAAAAGTTGGTATAGACTCATGGAAATTCTGCCGTAGACGTAAAGAATTTAAAAGAAACTTTTTTAGCTACGCATCTGCTGCTAAGAATCTGTCAGTGATGGTAAAATATCAACCTTATGATATTAAGCAAAGAATGATTGAATACTTGAGTTATGTGGCCAGATTTGGAAATCTCCCGATGTTGGACAATTTTGGACGAAAGCAGTCCATGCTGACATTCTACTTTTTAGACATATTTATGATACTTTTATTTGCTGAATTGGCTTTGTTCGGTAGTGCTGTCTACTATTTGAGGCACTTTCTGCTTGATTTTCTAGGATTACAAGTAAAGGTAAAGACTTCGGAGGATAAGAAGGCAAAAAAAGACACTGAAAAGGATAAGACACAATGACATCAGCGGTAAATTCAGTAATTTAAAAGACATGAAAGTTAATTTGCTGCTTTTTGCCTGATTTGTCACTATGATGGTATGATTGAGCTTGTGAGTAAAAAGCACTGTTACCTTAGACGAAGAAATAGTTTGTTTATATTATCCATCACAAAGGAGTAAATATCAAAACACTGAAACCACTTAAGATTTTAAATGGTGTAGAAGAAATTGTTTAAAGATTTTATTGAGCTTTATTTAATTTTAATAAATCAGAAAAAAAAGTACAAGTGGCACTTTTGAAGTTCTTTCTTCTTTGTGTTGTTTTTTAAAAATTAATATAGATTGCGTACATTTGCTGTTTGTACCTTTTATAAAAATTGCTTTTTTTTTCTTCTTTCTATTTGTTTTTCATTGTTTGTTGTTTGTCTTTTTACCAATAATTTTATAATTGCTGAGTATCAGCTGTTGGAAGCTACAGTTGAATTAGAAGATTTTTTTTTTGTCTTTATGGCCATTAATGTCGGAATATATATGTGTCTATATGTGTATAATATCCGATGAAGTTACAGCAAAAATCGTATCCGAATGGTCACTGCAGTACCTATTATCAATGCTATATTTAAGCAGCAAACCCAATCTGTTGTCAAAAACCCTAATATTTGACTCACTTTTTCCACTCCCAAGTTCTGGTCAAGTAATAGCGCCTTCATTTGTATGAGTGGTTGTCATTGTTAATCCGAGAGTTATAGAGGTTTTTGAAACGTAGTGAAAGTAACGAGAAAGCTGAGTAATCTGACAAGATAAGATTTATACAATAGCGAACAGAACTGAACAGAGCCGTTTGGCAGCACAGCGGTGGAGCAGGTCCTCGGAAAGGTATATGGAGTGGATTTGTGCCTCACTTAGAGCTTCAACTTCGCTCAATGGTAAAAGTGAAAGGAATAAAAGAAGACAATTTCTTGAAACAGTACATCGAGGCGATGGGAAGGCTGGAATTAGGCGGGTTTGTAAGCTGCTGAATGGTTGAATAAAAAGAGATTTGAAATCAATTACAATAACTGCAGTAAACTGCGATAACACTTTACTAATGGTAACTATCGCAATCCTTAAAATTTTTTTTTATAAAAATTTTAAATATGATATGGGGCTGCAAAAATAGTTCTTGTTCATCAGTAACTTAACAAAGTTTGAAGCAAATACACAAATGGATGCCGTCAGCCGGTGGGGAATGTCATCAATGCCATCTATTATCGGCGCTTGTAATAGCTACTTAAATCAAACTGGTATCAGGCCTGCCTAAATAAACGCAAGGACATTCGAAAAATTGTTCAATGCGACAGTTATATAAGGAGTGTGATGAGCAAAAAGGATCAGAGTAGTGATGAGTACAATAAGTAAAAAATTTTTAAGTTTTCGTAGCTACCATTAATTACAGTATTAAAAAATGACGTATTGATGACGAAGAAGGTTAAAAGACACGTGTTGACTTAAAATACAGTGAGGGTGGCGTAGTTTGAGTAGCAGTGAATCATTATTTTTTAAGCTTAATGGGCTGAAAATAGCCTGCACATTAAGCTGTAATGTAAAGTAACCATGCAAAAAAAATGTTATCATTATACTTTAAATGTCTGACATAATAATGAAAAAAAATTGTTCAAACTAATGAGCGAAGGAGGAATAAACTTTTTCCACTTTGTCTGTTACCATTCAGTTTTTACAATAGTGCTAATGAGAAGTCAAAATAATAATAATAATAATAATAATAATAATAACAATAAAAAATAAAGAATTAACAGGTACAAATTTGTACAAGTAAAAATATCATCACTTTAACATTCACTTGAAACATACAAGGTTCTTTATGAGTTCCCCCAGATACGTCATATAAAGTTTAATAAGACTAAGCCTATCAATTGCAGATAAGCGTGTTCGTCTCTGTGTGTCTATGTAAGCAGGTGTATGTATGTGTATGTATGTAGGAATATATGTATATATGTAAATGAACATTTTGCAGTAACAAAAAAAATCTAAGTGAATAGATAGCACTGATTTTAAGCGTATCTATACACAAGAAACCGTTATTCATTTATACTATTTTCGTGTCGTCTACTCAAATACTAGTGTCTTAACCTTTGTTGTACTGTTAATGTCACTATAAAAAATCAAAATTGTAAAGGAAAAAATTGTATCATTGGTGAAAAAAAAAGTTGATGTGTTAGTGACAGGTATAGAGTGAGTAAATCTTTATTTTGTTGCTAACCAATTTCACTCTACTCACTTACAGAACAGTTGAACACTCGAAACAATACTTTGAAACGTCAAATGTGTAGAATGCGAACCAAATAATACATTGATTTTATAAGTCTTCTACGGTGTACAGATTTGCATTATTGCTACACATCAAATTCTGTGTATCGAATTCAGAAGAAAAAATTTCTCCGAAGTCTTCAAACAATTAGTTATTTAAGAATTTCGGATCAAACCGTTTTCTCTGTCTCTTGCATCACTTTATGCTTTTTGAGATCAAACGACAGATATATTAATCTTATAGAAAAAAAACTTCTTTTGTCACTATTAATATTTACAGCTGCTTTTTGACAAAGCCGGCTTCGCAAAATGTATCACTAATACTTGGTTTTTTTCTTTTCTTTCTAGTCGCTTTTTTTCTTCTTTATTTTGGAATTAAAACGTTTATACGACAACTCTGCTGCCAGCTGAGCAGTTTAGCCGTAACGATATCAAAACTAGCTTTTTGGCTGGAGATGACCATAAGCATTTGCTTCACACAATTAGCAGATCCATAAGCCAAGCATCTGCTGTTTTAGGCCTTTGAGTTGGTAATAATTCAGTTTATTAAGGTACTTGGAGTTTGTTCGTCTAGAATCACCTTGCTCAGAAGATTACGTTTACAAAGTACTACTACTGCAAATATTTAACTGCTTTCTTAGTGCTTTAGCAGACGTTTATATTGTTATGAGAAGATTATTAAAGGTATTTCAAAGCAATATTGTTTCTTACATTCCAAGTTTTTTTGACTTTTTTAATATGACTGTCGCTAAAATTATTGGCATTTTTGATGTTGAACTTTTTGGCTTACTCATATTCTCCTTTTTTTTAGGGCGGATGCCGACTAAGATTCTTATACAGTGTTCTTTAAGCTTTTTAAACATACATAGAAAAAGGGTGTATAAATTCATTACCTGTTATTTATCAGCACGATTTTTCTTATCAATAGGTGTAAAAGAACCTTGATGATTTACCACCTAAATGTGCTGATTTTTTTAGGCAATTCTCTACAAATTAATGTCATTTATTTCAAGAAGCTAAAATCAATAAGGCAAAGAAATTTTATATACTTTAGTAAATAGGAAAGAATTCATCAGAGGCGGTGACAAAGAACTGATAAGGACTTACAGGCAACAGTCTCATTGCTTAATAAGTCAAGTTTAACTGATTATTAGTCGAGTAGTATGCTTTCTGTTGAACCGAAGCACTTGTTTAACTTTTGAAATTTTTCCATTTTTTTTTTTTTTTTGTATTTAGGCTTTTTTCTTTCTTTCTTTATTTATTTATTTTTTCAAAAGAAATGCAGCATAAGATTTAAAAAACATTAGTACAAAGAAAGAATTTATAACATTAAAGAAGTAATGTTGTTTTTGACTGGTATCATCACCGCTTATGTAACATTTACTCTTTGTTTCAGGACAGAACCACTTATTACTTTTGCTTCTATTGGGCTCAGTTTACTAAGTCGGTATCCGAGTGCCGCTGATTGCGATAGAAAACAGTATCTTGAGCGGTGAAAAAATTCCGCATTAAACAAGTGTAGTCTTATTAAAATAGACGAATTAAAAATGCTTCATCAAATTTACGAAGTGGCTTTTATTACCGGTGAATATCCTTCCTCCTACTGGCTCTGTTTTATTTCTAATATTAAACAGTAATTTTGATCAATGTTTGCCGAGCGAATACTAAGAAAGAAAAAGCACTTAGTATAGTTTAGCCTAAATATTTTATATAAAAATGAAGGTACAAAGGAGATTTTTTTAATTTGTTTTACGTAAAAAAAAGCACTATGAATGATTTTGAGAAAAAAAGATTTTTTTTTGGTTATTGTCATATTCAACAATAAACTGTTGAGCACTTTTATAAACTAAAAAACTGTATCTAATGAAAATTGAAGTCAATCTTTTATTGCACAGAGAAAAACGATCAAATATATATATTCTTCTTTATAAAAATTTTATACACTTTAAGAATAAAATCATTTTTTACTTACGCTTTATTGGTTTTAGCTATTTGTCAGTTAAGACAAACCATAAATAAGGTAGAAGCAAAAATATTGTCAAAAAAAAAAGCTATTTGTACTTTTTAATTAGACAACATATAACAAAAATTTTTTGTTAATTCAG